GGCTTTATGCAGTGGCTTTATGCAGTGGCTTTCTGCAGTGGCTTTATGCAGTGGCTTTATGCAGTGGCTTTATACAGTGGCTTTATGCAGTGGCTTTATACAGTGGCTTTATGCAGTGGCTTTAAACAGTGGCTTTATGCAGTGGCTTTATGCAGTGGCTTTATGCAGTGGCTTTATGCAGTGGCTTTATACAGTGGCTTTATACAGTGGCTTTATGCAGTGGCTTTATACAGTGGCTTTATGCAGTGGCTTTATACAGTGGCTTTATACAGTGGCTTTATGCAGTGGCTTTATGCAGTGGCTTTATGCAGTGGCTTTATACAGTGGCTTTATGCAGTGGCTTTATGCAGTGGCTTTATGCAGTGGCTTTATACAGTGGCTTTATGCAGTGGCTTTATACAGTGGCTTTATGCAGTGGCTTTATACAGTGGCTTTATACAGTGGCTTTATACAGTGGCTTTATGCAGTGGCTATATACAGTGCCTTTATACAGTGGCTTTATGCAGTGGCTTTATACAGTGGCTTTATGCAGTGGCTTTATACAGTGGTTTTATGCAGTGGCTTTATACAGTGGCTTATACAGTGGCTTTATGCAGTGGCTTATACAGTGGCTTTATACAGTGGCTTTATACAGTGGCTTTATGCAGTGGCTTATATAGTGGCTTATATAGTGGCTTTATACAGTGGCTTTATGCAGTGGCTTTATGCAGTGGCTTATACAGTGGCTTATACAGTGGCTTTATGCAGTGGCTTATACTGTGGCTTTATACAGTGGCTTTATACAGTGGCTTTATGCAGTGGCTTATACAGTGGCTTTATACAGTGTCTTATTCAGTGGCTTTATACAGTGGCTTATACAGTGGCTTTATGCAGTGGCTTTATACAGTGGCTTTATGCAGTGGCTTTATGCAGTGGCATATACAGTGGCTTATACAGTGGCTTTATACAGTGGCTTTATACAGTGGCTTTATGCAGTGGCTTATACAGTGGCTTATTCAGTGGCTTTATACAGTGGCTTATACAGTGGCTTTATGCAGTGGCTTTATACAGTGGCTTATACAGTGGCTTTATACAGTGGCTTTATACAGTGGCTTTATACAGTGGCTTTATGCAGTGGCTTTATACAGTGGCTTATACAGTGGCTTTATGCAGTGGCTTTATACAGTGGCTTATACAGTGGCTTTATACAGTGGCTTTATACAGTGGCTTTATACAGTGGCTTATACAGTGGCTTATACAGTGGCTTTATGCAGTGGCTTTATACAGTGGCTTATACAGTGGCTTTATACAGTGGCTTTATACAGTGGCTTTATGCAGTGGCTTTATACAGTGGCTTTATACAGGGGGCTTATACAGTGGCTTTATACAGTGGCTTTATACAGTGGCTTTATGCAGTGGCTTTATACAGTGGCTTATACAGTGGCTTTATGCAGTGGCTTATACAGGGCTTATACAGTGGCTTATACAGTGGCTTTATACAGTGGCTTATACAGTGGCTTTATGCAGTGGCTTATACAGTGGCTTTATACAGTGGCTTTATACAGTGGCTTTATGCAGTGGCTTATATAGTGGCTTATACAGTGGCTTTATACAGTGGCTTTATGCAGTGGCTTTATGCAGTGGCTTATACAGTGGCTTATACAGTGGCTTTATGCAGTGGCTTATACAGTGGCTTTATACAGTGGCTTTATACAGTGGCTTTATGCAGTGGCTTATACAGTGGCTTTATACAGTGGCTTATTCAGTGGCTTTATACAGTGGCTTATACAGTGGCTTTATGCAGTGGCTTTATACAGTGGCTTATACAGTGGCTTTATGCAGTTGGCTTATACAGTGGCTTATACAGTGGCTTATGACAGTGGCTTTATACAGTGGCTTATGCAGTGCTTTCTGTATACGTGGCTTATTCAGTGGCTTTATACAGTGGCTTATACAGTGGCTTTATGCAGTGGCTTTATTACAGTGGCTTATTCGGGGCTTTATACAGTGGCTTATACAGTGGGCTTTATGACAGTGGCTTTATACAGTGGCTATAACAGTGGCTTATACAGTGGCTTTATAACAGTGGCTTTATACAGTGCTTTAGGCAGTGGCTTATACAGTGGCTTATACAGTGGCTTATGCAGTGGCTTATACAGTGGCTTTACAGTGGCTTTATACAGTGGCTTTATACAGTGGCTTTATACAGTGGCTTATACAGTGGCTTATACAGTGGCTTTATGCAGTGGCTTTATACAGTGGCTTATACAGTGGCTTTATACAGTGGCTTTATACAGTGGCTTTATGCAGTGGCTTTATACAGTGGCTTTATACAGTGGCTTATACAGTGGCTTTATACAGTGGCTTTATGCAGTGGCTTTATGCAGTGGCTTTATACAGTGGCTTTATACAGTGGCTTTATGCAGTGGCTTTATACAGTGGCTTATACAGTGGCTTATACAGTGGCTTTATACAGTGGCTTTATACAGTGGCTTTATGCAGTGGCTTTATACAGTGGCTTTATACAGTGGGTTTATGCAGTGGCTTTATACAGTGGCTTATACAGTGGCTTTATGCAGTGGCTTTATGCAGTTGTTGGGATGACGAAAAGTATCTTCTAGTTTCAATACATTTTCAGACACTTTTACTTCCAGAGAACAAATCTATAGTGTATGTGGTTCAGTAAGGAGTAAGCCTATAGATATGCAGAACTAAAGCCTTATTCAATATCAGCAAAGACATGGAGAGTAAAGTGATGGAAGACCTACAGCACTGTACTGTATGTGATGGAGACCTACAGCACTGTTACATGATCTTACTGCTCTCCAGCATTGAGTGATATATCCCACCACCATTCCAGCACCTGAAAAGTAAATAATTTCCAAGAAATAACCCATTAGCCGGAGAGAGAGAGCGAGAGAGAGAGAGAGAGAGAGAGAGAGAGGAGAGAGGAGAGAGAGAGAGAGAGAGAGAGAGAGAGAGAGAGAGAGAGGGGGGGGGGGGGGGGGGTTCCTGCGTCACGTTGCTTTAAATTGGTTCAGCAGCTGCCAAAGAAAATGATGACCTGCTGAATGCAGGGTTTCTTAACTTGGCCCGACGCCCGTCAGCTCTCTGGCTCAAAGCTCTGCTGGACCCAAACACTGAACAATAGTAATCAGACCTCCTCTGGACCCAAACACTGAGAGTGTTTACATCTTTACAGTATTATGAATACCACAAAGAAAACCAATAGTAGAAAAGGGACCCAGCACTCACCCCAGCCAGACCAGAAACCTGTTGGATTTCTCTCCTGTGTTTATGCTCTTATGTTCTGGCCACTTGACTGATTCAAACATCAATGTGCCATTTAGAACAAGGCCACTTCTTCATATCATTGGGATTCTGGGGGATGGAATATCAGGCTAAAGACATTTGTCTGCAATAGTGCAACTGCATGTGTAACTTATGCCATGTCACCTCCCGTACAACATGACTGCAGCTAATAACTAATCTTATAAGACATATTCCTCCTTGGTCCCTTTCTGGCCCTCCAAATCATGTTGGGTATACCACAATAAAACCTGTCACCTAAGAACAAGAAATGGTATCTTCCTTTCTCTATAACAGGGATGGGCAACCCTTTTGTTTTTAGGAACTCAGTCGAGGTCTCAACTCACTGTTGAGAGTTAGAATAGTAGAATACACACTGATTTCTATCCGCAACAAGACAGTTTGGTGGAAACACACCACTGGTGGGAGAATTCGCGTTTTTTTAAAAAAATGCAGATTCTTTAATATTGGCATGAAAATCTGTCGCCAATTGGATGGAAACCTAGATACTGACAGTCACTCCATTAGCCATGTCAGCTAACATTTCTTAGGTTGTTAAATGAATCTAGCCAGCTATCTAAGCTTGTGGTAATCATGGTAGAACTACCGACCGGGGGGCCCCCATTGATTTTGTTAGTCACTCTCACTCAGATATAGTTTTAAAAGCAAACATTTCTCTCCGCCCCATTGGCAAAATTAGTAGAATTGTATAAAATGTGTTATTAAATAGCAAAATTGTAACATTTTCTCTACACCCCATGGCAAAATGTGTAGAATTGCAGGAAATGTACTCTAAAACTCTGCTGTCAAGAGGGGTGCTGCTAAAATGTTCTGCTCTATTTTTTTACTTAGGGCTCCCAAAGGCTAAGGCCGGCTCTGACTGAATGTGTGGGTATGGAGCCCCCCCCCTACCCCCCCCCTCCTCTGACCTGTATTGCGGGATTATGCGGCTTTCTTCTCATATGTTTTCCTTTTCACTTTGTCCAGCTGGCCAAACGTAAAGCAGATGTTTGTGATGAAGTGAAGCAAGCTCTCTCTGCCAGGAAAGGGATAAAAGAAAACATAACATGACGTCTCTCCAAATGATGTTTTGTTTCAGGTGACAGGGAGGGACTTCGTCCACACACCTTCGGACCTCTCAGCGTACTTCCTCCATCAACCGCTGTGATATATAAACCCAGCGCGCCGAACTGCAGCCGAAGTCCTCCTATAGTTTGCAAGGAGCTACTGGCTAGTGTAGTCTACTGCTGGGAGGAAGCGTCTCTCTCTCTCTCTCTCTCTCTTGTCTACTATTCTAACTAGATCGTTGGAGGAGTGTCGCCTGGCAACGCAGGCACTAGATACCGCCGCAAAGTAGAAGGTAGGACCTTTCCAAGATTCCGTTGAGGGATTTTATTTATTCTGTTGTTCCCGATATTTTTCTGCTGCATGTGTTTTTAATATTTTTGAGGAATATTTTAGAAGGTTTTTTTCATACGTTTGTACTATTTCAAATACATGTCACAATCTTAAATTACATACTTGCAGATTTGCCTTGGACACAAATAACAAGCTAATGTCATTCAATTTTACGCATGGCACATAGCCTATGGCAGGTTTTAGTTGGCACAAATAGACTACTTGAGTAATGTCCGTTCTTTTGTATTTAATTTCAGATTAAATCAAGACTAGGGATAGCCTACATCCCGTCAGATATCTTAAAAGAAGCAAACATGAATGCTCCGCACTTTGCCATAGACGTTCTGCTGTTGTGCATATCTTTCGGAGCAAGTGTATTGGCAGCCAACTCTCCCACCGTGTCCTCGACGTTGCCAGCCACCAATTTCACCGAACTTGGCGCAGCGTTCAGCCATGGAGAAGCAGACAGCGAGAATATTCCCCTGACCAGGAGGAAGCGTTATATTTCCCAAAACGACATGCTTGCCATTCTCGATTACCACAATAAAGTAAGAGGGAAGGTTTTCCCTCCGGCGTCCAATATGGAGTACATGGTAAGTGATTTATACGTTCAAATTTATCAATCAATTGCTCATTGATTAATGATGAATGATCTTTCTGCTTCCCTGCCTTCACTTCCTTCACTTGCTATTCTAATGTTGTATATTGATATCGCGGTTTATGTATTGATAAATAGCCTACTTGTTATATCAGTGGCCAGGGTTATTATAAAATGTACGGGAGAAACTGCTGTATTAATTGATGAATGTCTACTTAGCTGCACCGTTCATTGATTCATGTGTGTTGCTTAGTGTAAGAAGCTGTCTGTCTGGCATGGTGATAGGTTGATGTGAATGAAGGTCCCCCAAATGGTACCCTATTCCCTATATAGTGCACTACTTTAGACCAGAGAATGGTACCCTATTCCCTATATAGTGCACTACTTTAGACCAGAGAATGGCACCCTATTCCCTATATAGTGCACTACTTTAGACCAGAGATTGGCACCCTATTCCCTATATAGTGCACTACTTTAGACCAGAGAATGGCACCCTATTCCCTATATAGTGCACTACTTTAGACCAGAGAATGGCACCCTATTCCCTATATAGTGCACTACTTTAGACCAGAGAATGGCACCCTATTCCCTATATAGTGCACTACTTTAGACCAGAGAATGGCACCCTATTCCCTATATAGTGCACTACTTTAGACCACGGCCCATATGGCTCTAAAGTAGTGCACTATATAGGGAATAGGGTGCCATTTGGAATGCAAACCAATGTGTAGTTCAGAGCAGGATGTTCAGTGCCAAATATCTCCTCTGGCCCTCTCTGGCCCTCTCTGGCCCTCTCTGGCCCTCTCTGGCCCTCTCTGGCCCCCTCTGGCCCTCTCTGGCCCTCTCTGGCCCTCTCTGACCCTCTCTGACCCTCTCTGGCCCTCTCTGGCCCTCTCTGGCCCTCTCTCTGGCCCTCTCTGGCCCCCTCTGACCCTCTCTGGCCCTCTCTGGCCCTCTCTGGCCCCCTCTGACCCTCTCTGGCCCCCTCTGGCCCTCTCTGGCCCTCTCTGGCCCTCTCTGGCCCTCTCTGGCCCTCTCTGGCCCTCTCTGGCCCTCTCTCTGGCCCTCTCTGGCCCTCTCTGGCCCCTGACCCTCTCTGGCCCTCTTGGCCCTATTGGCCCTCCCTTCTGGCCCTCTCTGGCCCTCTCTGGCCCTCTCTCTGGCCCTCTCTGGCCCTCTCTGGCCCCCTCTGACCCTCTCTGGCCCTCTCTGGCCCCTCTCTGGCCCTCTCTGGCCCTCTCTGGCCCTCTCTCTGGCCCTCTCTGGCCCTCTCTGGCCCTCTCTGGCCCTCTCTGGCCCTCTCTGGCCCTCTCTGGCCCTCTCTGGCCCTCTCTGGCCCTCTCTGGCCCTGACCCAGCTGTTGAGCACATTTCAGGGTTCAGGATCACCTACAGCCTTGCTGGAAGAGGGGTCACGTGTAACACCAGTGGCACTCTTGCTGGCTGGCGGGAAAACATTGAGAGCTAAAGTACTCCTCAATGCCAGGACCTATGAAAAGTACCTCATGTAGACCAATGGGTTCATGTAGACCGTGGTTATGTCCTAAATGAAATACAATGGAACCTTGTCAAAAGTAGTGCACTACATAAGGAATAGGGTGCCATCTGTGATTCAAGTGTCCATGTAGTGGTGTAATGGGTTTGGTTGGAGTAGTTCATGAATGAATGATGAATGGGTTTAAACACACGGTAGCTGGTAGCTGGTAGCTGGTAGCTGGTAGCTGGTAGCTGGTAGCTGGTAGCTGGTAGCTGGTTGGATTTCCTGGACAGTGTCCAAGTTAGAGGCAAGGTTTATGTCCTTAAGGATGGCTGTAGAGAGAATGTTGCATGTTGCAGATACAGAGAAGAGTGCATTGTTCCCAAAAAGAGGCTGCTGTAAAAGGCCCTTGCTATGATAAACCAACTATTGGCAGTGTATCGCTCTGAACAGGCCAGTTGCATAGCCGTCATGGGAGCGATGGTGGCTGGCAACGTCGAGGAAACGGTGGGAGAGTTGGCTGCTAATACACTTAAAGTCTATGGCAAAGTGCGGAACATTCATGTTTGCTTATTTTAAGATATCTGACGGGATGTAGGCTATCCCTAGTCTTGATTTCATCTGAAATGAAGAAAAAAAAAGAACAGACATTACACGAGTAGTCTATTTGTGCCAACTAAAACCAAGTACTACCATCTATGAGGTTGAACCACGTGAGAGAGAGAGCAGTACTACCATCTATGAGGTTGAACCACGTGAGAGAGAGAGCAGTACTACCATCTAGGAGGTTGAACCACGTGAGAGAGAGAGCAGTACTACCATCTAGGAGGTTGAACCACGTGAGAGAGAGAGCAGTACTACCATCTAGGAGGTTGAACCACGTGAGAGAGGGAGCAGTACTACCATCTAGGAGGTTGAACCACGTGAGAGAGGGAGCAGTACTACCATCTAGGAGGTTGAACCACGTGAGAGAGAGAGCAGTACTACCATCTAAGAGGTTGAACCACGTGAGAGAGGGAGCAGTACTACCATCTAGGAGGTTAAACCACGTGAGAGAGAGAGCAGTACTACCATCTAGGAGGTTGAACCACGTGAGAGAGAGAGCAGTACTACCATCTAGGAGGTTGAACCACGTGAGAGAAAGAGCAGTACTACCATCTAGGAGGTTGAACCACGTGAGAGAGAGAGCAGTACTACCATCTAGGAGGTTGAACCACGTGAGAGAGAGAGCAGTATTACCATCTAGGAGGTTGAACCACGTGAGAGAGAGAGCAGTACTACCATCTAGGAGGTTGAACCACGTGAGAGAGAGAGTAAACTACCATCTAGGAGGTTGAACCACGTGAGAGAGAGAGCAGTACTACCATCTAGGAGGTTGAACCACGTGAGAGAGAGAGAGCAGTACTACCATCTAGGAGGTTGAACCACGTGAGAGAGAGAGAGCAGTACTACCATCTAGGAGGTTGAACCACGTGAGAGAGAGAGCAGTACTACCATCTAGGAGGTTGAACCACGTGAGAGAGAGAGCAGTACTACCATCTAGGAGGTTGAACCACGTGAGAGAGAGAGCAGTACTACCATCTAGGAGGTTGAACCACGTGAGATGGAGAGAGTAAACTACCATCTAGGAGGTTGAACCACGTGAGAGAGTGAGTAAACTACCATCTAGGAGGTTGAACCACGTGAGAGAGAGAGCAGTACTACCATCTAGGAGGTTGAACCACGTGAGAGAGAGAGCAGTACTACCATCTAAGAGGTTGAACCACGTGAGAGAGGGAGCAGTACTACCATCTAGGAGGTTAAACCACGTGAGAGAGAGAGCAGTACTACCATCTAGGAGGTTGAACCACGTGAGAGAGAGAGCAGTACTACCATCTAGGAGGTTGAACCACGTGAGAGAAAGAGCAGTACTACCATCTAGGAGGTTGAACCACGTGAGAGAGAGAGCAGTACTACCATCTAGGAGGTTGAACCACGTGAGAGAGAGAGCAGTATTACCATCTAGGAGGTTGAACCACGTGAGAGAGAGAGCAGTACTACCATCTAGGAGGTTGAACCACGTGAGATGGAGAGAGTAAACTACCATCTAGGAGGTTGAACCACGTGAGAGAGTGAGTAAACTACCATCTAGGAGGTTGAACCACGTGAGAGAGAGAGCAGTACTACCATCTAGGAGGTTGAACCACGTGAGAGAGAGAGTAAACTACCATCTAGGAGGTTGAACCACGTGAGAGAGAGAGCAGTACTACCATCTAGGAGGTTGAACCACGTGAGAGAGAGAGAGCAGTACTACCATCTAGGAGGTTGAACCACGTGAGAGAGAGAGTAAACTACCATCTAGGAGGTTGAACCACGTGAGAGAGAGAGCAGTACTACCATCTAGGAGGTTGAACCACGTGAGAGAGAGAGTAGTACTACCATCTAGGAGGTTGAACCACGTGAGAGAGAGAGTAAACTACCATCTAGGAGGTTGAACCATGTGAGAGAACAGTACTACCATCTAGGAGGTTGAACCATGTGAGAGAGCAGTACTACCATCTAGGAGGTTGAACCATGTGAGAGAGTAGTACTACCATCTAAGAGGTTGAACTGCGTGAGAGAGTAGTACTACCATCTAGGAGGTTGAACCACGTGAGAGAGAAGTACTACCATCTAGGAGGTTGAACCACGTGAGAGAGAGAGCAGTACTACCATCTAGGAGGTTGAACCACGTGAGAGAGAGAGCAGTACTACCATCTAGGAGGTTGTCTCGTCTTGACCCTGATCCAATTCCTCTTTGGCTCTATGTTCCGTTCCAGCTGTTCTGTTGACTAACCAAAGACAGCACGTTTCATTGTTGCATCAGTACTCATGGAAAATTGTTGCGTTGGAGTACCTGGAACATAGCAGAACAGTTCCACGTGAATTAAACGTTTTAAAGAGACTTCTGCAGTCTAGCTGCACGCAAATTAGTTGTCTTAGAAACATTTTCTCACTGCCTTAATATATGGGAACGTGGAGTATAGACAAGGCTTTAACGTATGGCAACAGGAGGTATAGACAAGGCTTTAACGTATGGCAACGGGGAGTATAGACAAGGCTTTAACGTATGGCAACAGGGAGTATAGACAAGGCTTTAACGTATGGCAACAGGGAGTATAGACAAGGCTTTAACGTATGGCAACAGGGAGTATAGACAAGGCTTTAACGTATGGCAACGGGGAGTATAGACAAGGCTTTAACGTATGGAAACGGGGAGTATAGACAAGGCTTTAACGTATGGCAACGGGGAGTATAGACAAGGCTTTAACGTATGGCAACGGGGAGTATAGACAAGGCTTTAACGTATGGCAACGGGGAGTATAGACAAGGCTTTAACGTATGGCAACAGGGAGTATAGACAAGGCTTTAACGTATGGCAACAGGGAGTATAGACAAGGCTTTAACGTATGGCAACAGGGAGTATAGACAATGCTTTAACGTATGGCAACGGGGAGTATAGACAAGGCTTTAACGTATGGCAACGGGGAGTATAGACAAGGCTTTAACGTATGGCAACAGGGAGTATAGACAAGGCTTTAACGTATGGCAACAGGGAGTATAGACAAGGCTTTAACGTATGGCAACAGGGAGTATAGACAAGGCTTTAACGTATGGCAACAGGGAGTATAGACAAGGCTTTAACGTATGGCAACAGGGAGTATAGACAAGGCTTTAACGTATGGCAACGGGGAGTATAGACAAGGCTTTAACGTATGGCAAAGGGGAGTATAGACAAGGCTTTAACGTATGGCAACAGGGAGTATAGACAAGGCTTTAACGTATGGCAACAGGGAGTATAGACAAGGCTTTAACGTATGGCAACGGGGAGTATAGACAAGGCTTTAACGTATGGCAACAGGGAGTATAGACAAGGCTTTAACGTATGGCAACAGGGAGTATAGACAAGGCTTTAACGTATGGCAACAGGGAGTATAGACAAGGCTTTAACGTATGGCAACAGGGAGTATAGACAAGGCTTTAACGTATGGTGACGGGGAGTATAGACAAGGCTTTAACGTATGGCAACGGGGAGTATAGACAAGGCTTTAACGTATGGCAACAGGGAGTATAGACAAGGCTTTAACGTATGGCAACGGGGAGTATAGACAAGGCTTTAACGTATGGCAACAGGGAGTATAGACAAGGCTTTAACGTATGGCAACAGGGAGTATAGACAAGGCTTTAACGTATGGCAACGGGGAGTATAGACAAGGCTTTAACGTATGGCAACGGGGAGTATAGACAAGGCTTTAACGTATGGCAACAGGGAGTATAGACAAGGCTTTGTGTGTATATATGTCTTAGTTTAGTCATGTCTACAGTTCAGTCCATGTTTTCTCATGATTCTCATGTTTCTCATGTTCCCTCTATGTGTGTGTGTGTGTGTGTGTGTGTGTGTGTGTGTGTGTGTGTGTGTGTGTGTGTGTGTGTGTGTGTGTGTGTGTGTGTTTCTACCTGTGTGTTTCTACGTGTGTGTAGACGTGGGACGAGACCCTGGCTAGTTCAGCGGAGGACTGGGCTCATGCGTGTCTGTGGGATCACGGCCCTCGCCACCTCCTCAGGTTCCTGGGCCAGAACCTCTCTGTCAGGACCGGACGGTGAGTCACCTCTGATCTCTGAGCCCTCACTGTTGACCCTAGATGCTGACCCCAGGTCAGTTTGGTGTTCCACCTTCTAAAGGTTCAGGATGTGGGGGAGGGGAAACTGATCCTGGAACTCTGCCTCCAATGGCAACTTCTAGTCATGACCCCTGACTGCTTCCCAAATGTCGTGACCCTGACTGCTTCCCAAATGTCGTGACCCTGACTGCTTCCCAAATGTCGTGACCCTGACTGCTTCCCAAATGTCGTGACCCTGACTGCTTCCCAAATGTCGTGACCCTGACTGCTTCCCAAATGTCGTGACCCTGACTGCTTCCCAAATGTCGTGACCCTGACTGCTTCCCAAATGGGGCCCTATTCATTACGTAGTGTACTGCTTTTGACCAGAGCTCCAAGGGGGTTGCATAGGAAATAGGATGCCATCTGGGACACAGACCCTGTCTCAGGCCTTAAATGAATCAGCTGCGACTCACCAGTATAGGCCCCTTGACTGACTGACTGAGTGACCTAACGTTGGGGAAACATTGCTTTAGTCCATGACTCACATCTTGAGACCCTATTAGAAATATCATCTTATCTTTCAAGTTAAGGATCTACTCTCGGTACTAATCTGAGCGTCTGTGTGTCTCTGTCCTCAGCTACCGCTCTATCCTCCAGTTAGTGAAGCCCTGGCACGATGAAGTGAAGGACTATGTGTTCCCCTACCCCCGGGACTGCAACCCCAGGTGCCCCCTGAAGTGCTACGGACCCATGTGTACACATTATACACAGGTAAGAAGACACAAGCAGGAGTGCCATGTCATTCTGGGCGGAATCATAACTTGATTTAACCCAATGCCATCAATAGTTGATTGATATGAATGTTTGTGTTGCTCATGCATCTCTTAAAAGTCCAATGCAGCTGTTTTTATCTCAATATCAAATAAATCATTTTCTGGGAAACAATTAAGTACCGTACTGTGATTGTTTTCAATTAAAATGGTCAAAAAGAAACAAAAATAGCTTCTTAGCAAAGAGCAATTTCTCAAGCAAGAATTTTGCTAGGACCGTCTGGGAGTGGAAAAACTGAAAATTAGCTGTTATTGGCAGAGAGGTTTGGAACTCTCTTTCTTATTGGTCTATTAACTAATTTACCTGCCTGATGATGTCACCATGGAAAGCCAAAACTCCATCCAATCAAAACAGGCTGAAATTTCAAGCTGTCTTTTCTAACAGCTCGTGCACTAAAAGGGGCGTCGTCATCATGTTCACATTGTCACAGTGTCATTCCAACCTCATAGTGTGGAAATATACATAAATCACAGGGAAATCAGGTTTTTTGACTGCCTGTGTAACTGTTTAAATGACCTTTGCATAACGATGATCCCTGCTGTCTCTCTACTTTACAGATGGTTTGGGCCACAACAAACAAAGTTGGCTGTGCTGTGCACACGTGCCACAATATGAACGTATGGGGGAACGTGTGGAAACGGGCAACATACTTAGTGTGCAACTATTCATCCAAGTGAGTAGACAGTAATAATATGCTCATTCTATCGTCTCCCTTTGATATTTCAGGAAGTAGGAATACAGTATCTTTGAGAAAGGTCTTTGCTTTCACATCAACTTCTATGCTGTTGTCCTAGTACCAACGGCGTACTGCACCTTAGTTCTGAGCATGCCAGTACTCAACCTGCTGTTGTCCTAGTACCAATGGCGTACTGCACCTTAGTTCTGAGCATGCCAATACTCAACCTGCTGTTGTCCTATTACCAATGGCGTACAGCACCTTAGTTCTGAGCATGCCAGTACTCAACCTGCTGTTGGCATAGTGCGGTTAATCTCCGTCCATTTAGAGCTTTAGCAAACACACTGATCAATGCGTTGCTCCACAGGGACAATGGTGCCCACTATCAATGCAGCTACTGACAGTCTTACTGAAAACGAAGTCATCCGCACTCTGTAATGAATTACACCGGCATCTCTCTGGATAGCTTATACATTCCCCTAACTACGTTCCTTATAACGTAGTTACACGCTAGTTATGTAGCTTATACGCTAACCCTAACCTCCAGACCACTCTGTGCCAATATTAACTCTGTGTCTGTCTGTCTGTCTGTCTGTCTGTCTTGTGTTTTCCAGGGGGAACTGGATCGGAGAGGCCCCCTACAAAGTAGGCGTCCCGTGCTCTGCCTGTCCCCCTAGCTACGGAGGCTCCTGTTCCAACAACATGTGCTTCCCAGCCCTCAACACAAACTATCTGCAATGGTTCAAATAGAGCCAGGAGTCCCTGTCCAGACTAAGGCGCCGTCCCAAATCACACGCTATTCTCTATGTAGCCCTGTGGACCCTGGTCTAAAGTAGTGCACTACGTAGGGAATAGGGTGCCATTTTGGGACGCAGGCTAACACCAAGCTAACATCATGACCCCACTTTACCCTCAACACAGAGACTTTCCCCCCTGAAGGATTTGCACAACAGTCCTGAAAACACGCTATTTTTGTATATATGGGCTTATTTACGTTGGAAGGTAGCACATGTTTTATAATAATGTGTACATAGAATGTATATTAATGTTGTTTTTACATTGTTGCTAGAACTGGTGTTTTTGTATGAATATCCTATGATGAATTGGATTTATTGATTTATTGATTGATTGATTGATTGATTGATTGATAGGAAGATAATTTATCTTGTGAACCGTGTTTAATTACAGATATGGTGCAGATACTGTTTACCATTGGCCATGTGCCCATAGGAAGTGGCTACTCACGGAGACACCACCTCACAATGGTAAAATGGAAACAACTGGAGACACCTTTTCATTTTTGGAGACAGGTTATTGACACGGCAGCGCTACTGTTGCTAGCAAAAACAAAAGATTGCTAACGAACTGTAAACTATTTTAGCTGGCTAGCTAATCATCTTGGCTAACTGTGGAGCAAAACAATTCACTTATTTACCATTAATTAGCTACCGCAAATATATTTTCTAGCAAATGCAACGCTGTCTCCTAACCTGCAAGGTGTCTCCAGCGATGTTTACTTTTTGACATTCTGTGACGCCTCCAGTTCCAGGCGTAGTATGTGGTCCAGATGCATTTTGAAGTTTGAGGTAAAGGCACAGTTACACAGTTCTGGCTGCTTATCTCAAATCAATTAAATGGTGCTGAACACACAGAGCACTATATAACTCTCAATGGTGCTGAACACACAGAGCACTATATAACTCTCAATGGTGCTGAACACACAGAGCACTATATAACTCTCAATGGTGCTGAACACACAGAGCACTATATAACTCTCAATGGTGCTGAACACACAGAGCACCATATAACTCTCAATGGTGCTGAACACACAGAGCACTATACAACTCTCAATGGTGCTGAACACACAGAGCACTATATAACTCTCAATGGTGCTGAACACACAGAGCACTATATAACTCTCAATGGTGCTGAACACACAGAGCAGTGTACAGCTCTCAATGGTGCTGAACACACAGAGAAGTGTACAGCTCTCAATGGTGCTGAACACACAGAGCACTATACATTCTATACATAATTCTATATCATTCTATAACAGTAGGTTCAGTGAAATGTGTATACCATGACAGATTAAAAGGATCCAGGTGTGTCCTTACAACAGATTGGAGTACCAATGTGTTTTGGTCTATCGCATGATTCTGTCGGTATAATGTGTTCACTGATCTGTTTTCAGTTCTTAGAACGACATCTTCATGTGCCTTAATAAGTGTTTATTGTATACTTCCATAATATCCGGAAATTACCAGTTGTATGTATATAGATAACCCTCATACCCTGAATATGAAAATCCTTATACTACATTCATACTGAAAGTTATTCATTTTTATACGGCAGAAGTATTTCATTGAAGGAGTTTTTAAATAAATAAATAAGTAAAGGAATGATGTCCGTGCATACTGGTTCTGAATGATGTCCGTGCATACTGGTTCTGAATGATGTCCGTGCATACTGGTTTTGATTAAGATCATCTAATGTAATGAAAAACAACCTTGTATTGTTTTCTTTAATTTAGTGTGGTTGGTAATTTAGTGTGGTTGTTATGGTCATTTAGTGTGGTTGGCAATTTAGTGTGGTTGGTAATTTAGTATGGTTGTTATGGTCATTTTGTGTGGTTGTTATGGTCATTTAGTGTGGTTGGTCATTTAGTGTGGTTGTTATGGTCATTTAGTGTGGTTGGTATTGTGGAGGTGTTTTCTTGCCAATACTAGCGCTTAGTTCATACAATATTACCATACCGACCACATTAAATTACCATACCAACCACACTAAATGACCAACCACACTAAATTACCAACCACACTAAATTACCAACCACACTAAATGACCATACCAACTACACTAAATGACCATACCAACCACACTAAATGACCAACCACACTAAATGACCATACCAACCACACTAAATTATCATACCAACCACACTAAATGGTCATTTAGTGTGGTTGGTCATTTAGATTTAGGTCATTTAGGGTTATTTGGCTGTCCCCATAGGACAGTTAAAAGGGTTCTACATGGAACCCAAAGTGTTCTACCTGGAAGCAAAAATGTTCTACATGTAAGGAAAAATAGTTACTTCAAAGGTTCTCCTATGGGGACCGCTGAAGAGTGTACTGAATCACACAATCTCTACGGGACTAGCATAATATCAGCCCTACTGTATGAATGTATGGGACTAGCATGATATCAGCCCTACTGTATGAATGTATGGGACTAGCATAATATCAGCCCTACAGTATGAATGTATGGGACTAGCATGATATCAGCCCTACTGTATGAATGTATGGGACTAGCATAATATCAGCCCTGCTGTATGAATGTATGGGACTAGCATAATATCAGCCCTGCTGTATGAATGTATGGGACTAGCATAATATCAGCCCTGCTGTATGAATGTATGGGACTAGCATAATATCAGCCCTACTGTATGAATGTATGGGACTAGCATGATATCAGCCCTACTGTATGAATGTATGGGACTAGCATAATATCAGCCCTACTGTATGAATGTACGGGACTAGCATAATATCAGCCCTACTGTATGAATGTATGGGACTAGCATAATATCAGCCCTACTGTATGAATGTATGGGACTAGCATAATATCAGCCCTACTGTATGAATGTATGGGACTAGCATAATATCAGCCCTGCTGTATGAATGTATGGGACTAGCATAATATCAGCCCTACAGTATGAATGTATGGGACTAGCATGATATCAGCCCTACTGTATGAATGTATGGGACTAGCATAATATCAGCCCTACTGTATGAATGTATGGGACTAGCATAATATCAGCCCTACTGTATGAATGTATGGGACTAGCATGATATCAGCCCTACTGTATGAATGTACGGGACTAGCATAATATCAGCCCTGCTGTATGAATGTATGGGACTAGCATGATATCAGCCCTACTGTATGAATGTACGGGACTAGCATAATATCAGCCCTACTGTATGAATGTATGGGACTAGCATAATATCAGCCCTACTGTATGAATGTATGGGACTAGCATAATATCAGCCCTACTGTATGAATGTATGGGACTAGCATAATATCAGCCCTACTGTATGAATGTATGGGACTAGCATAATATCAGCCCTGCTGTATGAATGTATGGGACTAGCATGATATCAGCCCTACTGTATGAATGTATGGGACTAGCATGATCTCATCAGTGTTATTGTGGTCCTCTGTAGCTCAGCTGGTAGAGCACGGCGCTTGGTCCTCTGTAACTCAGCTGGTAGAGCACGGCGCTTGGTCCTCTGTAGCTCAGCTGGTAGAGCACGGCGCTTGTAACGCCAAGGTAGTGGGTTCGATCCCCGGGACCAAACATACACAACAACAAAAAATGTATGCACGCATGACTGTAAGTCGCTTTGGATAAAAGCGTCTGCTAAATGGCACATTATATTATATTATTATTAAGGAAATATATATAGAAGAAACTCAAAACTTGTCAACAACGCCAACTGAGATTCAATAGATCAACAATGCACATCACAGAGCTAGGAAATTAATTTACATGATATTTTTTTTCAGCACTGACTGTATTTAAATTCTTTGTATTTACAGTGATGATGGAATTGAGCTTCTTCGCTGTGTATTTTGTAATAAAAACATATATTTTGGGCTTGTATTGGACCATGTCCTGTGGTTTAATGCCAGTTCTATTCCACTCTATGGACCCTTCTGGCTCAGACAACGCTTACTTGTCCAAGACTAACTTACTACTAACTACTCCACCCATTTCCCAAGCCTTCTCCGATCCCGCTTTTATCTCTCTCTCTATCTCTCTCTGTCTGTCTGCGTGTTCTCATGGCTGATATTGATTAGAGAACCGACCCATGGGAAACCCAGGATCATCCTTTCTCTTTTGATTCGCTGTTTCCATTTCAACCCTGAGATCTCAGAGCCACATCCAGAATATAAAAAAAACACAGCAGAGCTACAACTGAATCCTAATAAGAAAACGTTGACTTTGGCCGCGTTAAATCCTCATCTACACAAACAGACAGGCAACCAATACCCTTCAGTCCTGTCACGTGAAACCGTTGACCTCCGTGAGAGAGAGGAAGGGAGAGAGAGAGAGGAAGGGAGAGAGAGGGAGGAAGAGGGAGATAGATAGATAGATAGGGAGAGAGAGAGAGAGATAGAGAGAGAGAGAGAGAGAGAGAGAGAGAGAGAGAGAGAGAGAGAGAAAAGGGGAGTGAAGGGTAGAGGGAGGATCAGATAGGGAGGGAGAGGGAAGAGGTGAGCGAGTGTGAAAGAGAATAAAAGCAGAGCGAGTGAGAAAGAGAGAGAATGAGAGAACCAACTTCACCTTGCTGCATAGTAAGACAGCTTTCACAGTTTAAACATTCTCTCAGCTTTCAAAGTTTAAATATTCATTTCAAAGATGATGGAAAAAAATAATAATAGAAAATGCGTGTTTTTTTGTTTGTATTATCTTTTACCAGATCTAATGTGTTATATTCTCCTACATTTTCCACAAACTTCAAAGTGTTTCCTTTCAATTGGTATCAAGAATATGCATATCCTTGCTTCAGGTCCTGAGCTACAGGCAGTTAGATTTGGGTATGTCATTTTAGGCGAATTTTGTTTTTTAAAAGGGTCCGATCCTTTCTCTCAGCTTTCACAGCTTAAACATTCTCTCAGCTTTCACAGCTAAAACATTCTTTCAG